GTACAATTTTTAAACTTTCATGGTATCAGATGTCGTATTCGTTTTTCAGTTGTAACCGCACCCCGATTTTAAAATATAATAGTATATGGAGTATTTCTCCTTCATTTTTGTTAGCCATGTGATGAATAATTAGTACCTGGTGGAAAACACACATACCATTCAGAAAAATGTATGGGCAAGATGATGGGAGGGGTTATGGTGATTACTAAAAAAGTAGTAATCACCATGGTTACTAAGGGTAAATTGGGTATGGAAAAATAAATTGAATTAATTAGTTTTCTTAATAAATTACATTTTAGACAGTTACAAAAATATATTAATTCAATTTTCTCTCTTTCTCTTCCTTCCGTAATCTTCAGCCAGATCTTCTTTCCTTATTTTTCTCAATCTTTCTGCACAAAAAAAAAAAAAGAAATCACTACCAATCCATTAGACAACCACTACCACTTCTAAAAACACCAATACCATTATAGAAAAAAAATAAGAAATCACTACCAGTCCATTAGGCAACCACTACCACTTCGAAAAACACCAATACCATTATAAAAAAAAAAATAAGGAATTAATACCAAAACATAAAACACTACCACTATCACAATATATACAACTTATTAACCAATACCATTGTAGATATAACCAGTACAAGAAGATCAATACCAATACGATAACATAAATACAAAACAAATACTACTATACATGATAATTAATATCAATGCGCAAAAAAAATACAACTACGAAAAGATAAATACCAATATAAAAAATAAATACTAGTACGAAAAAATCATAACTGTCATCTGGTCAAGGGCATTGCCGGCTATTCCTTGCCGCTGTACCAACAACAAATCGTTGGCAATAGCTCCTCGCTGGTAGTACGGTGAGAGAGAAAGGGGGAGGGATGATGGTGGGGAGGCCGTGGAGCTATCACCAATCATTAACACGTTGTGAGGAAGAAGCGAGGAAAAGGGAGGTGTAGAGGGGTTGTGAGGAGGGGAGGGGTTAGCTGGAGGTAGGGATGGCAACAAAACCCGAACCCACGGGTACCCACCCGACCCAACCCGGTCAACGCGGGTAAAATCCGTGTTGACTGGTTTTGGGCCGGGTTTGGGTTTAAACCCGTTCACTATTTACCGGGTTGGGTTGGGTTTGGGTTTAGGTAAACCCGGCCCGTGGGTACCCGCCCATCCATATAATTAATTTTTTCAGTATATTTAATAATCTATACAACTAATCTTATTTATATTTGTGGAGACATGTCTAATTTTTTCTTTTTAATTGTGTAGAATGAAGTTGATGTTATGGAGTGGAGAGTAAAGAAACTTAATTGAAAGAAAGAAGCTTTCAATTAAACATGTTAGTTATGGATAATTTGTAATTTGCTTCAATTTTCTTGAGTTTTCTAGATTGGTGTTGAACAATTTGTATAGTTAATTTGTGATTTGCTTGAATTTTCTAGAATGATGTTTTATATATGGATAATTTGTATTGAGAGATTGATATTTGACTTTAATTTTGATAAGAACTTGTAATTGTAAATTTTTTACGACAAAACCCGTGGGTACCCATGAACCCGCGGATACCCAACGGGTTGGGTTGGGTTTGAGTTTTTCAAACCCAGTGGGTTTTACCCCGGGTTTTTTTCAAAGATAAACCCATGGGTTTGGGTTTGGGTTTGGCAAAACCCAACCCGACCCATTGCCATCCCTAGCTGGAGGGTTGAGCGGCCAGCGGTGAAGACAAGAGAGAGAGAGAGAGAGGGAGAGAGGGGGGTGCACGGCTGATGGTGGGAAGGGAGTGGCGGTGGGATGCGAGATAGGATGCAATAAGGTTTGCGTAGAATATATAGAATAATCAGGTTTGATATATTATTATTTCCAAAACTATCTGATTCGGGCCTAGTTGTACATATTTTACCCCGTTTTCCTTAGGCGTTTGTGGCAATTGTGCTCCTAAAAGGATGGTTTTACGCTAGGTTTCTTATGTTTTATCATGTTTCGGGATCTGACAGGTAAAACCAGGCCCGGAGTCGAAAGTTGGACGAAAAGGAGCGAAAACCGGGAGAAGAGGTGAAAACGGGAGTTCACGGTCTCCCTTGGGAGTTCACGGTCTGCTAAGACTGTGAAGAGGAAGCATAAGCCGTGAACATCGAGGCGACCAGAGCATTTACAGAGGTTACTAATGCCAGACGAGTTCACGGTCACTAAGACCGTGAACTGGAGCTGTTGCCCGTGAACCTGAGCAAGTGAAGTAGTGCGTTTCGACGCAAATTCTTGACTTCACGGACGCGTTAAAGAGTTCACGTCCGTGAACAGAGGCCGTGCACTGAGCCCGATCCCTGTTTAAAAGGAGTGCTGAAAGGAAGAGAGAAGGGAGAGCCCAAGAGTGAGAAAGTGCCTTCTTCTTCAGATTTTAGAGAGAGAAAGAACGAACCAAGGAAGAAAGAAGGCTAGTGACACGCTAAAACACAACACCTAACAATGGCCAAGTGTAACCAATGAAAGGGACTGCAGTATAGGCAAGTTTAATTATCAACCCAGGGTCTAGATCTACTGCTTACTCCGTGATTCTCTATTATCTAGCAAACTAAGTCGAGTGATTGTTGTGAAAAGTAAAAGCAACAAGAAAGCAGTAAATTGTTCGGTTTCTAAAGCAGGTAAGAGTCACTCGGGATTGAGTCCCCCTAGCCCCTTAGTTAGGTTCAATTGCAATTCCCTGGGTTGATTTACTGTTGATTAGACTGCGGAAGATCCGACAGTAGCTTGGAATCTCTTAAGCTGACCAAGCCCTCTCAGTCTAACTACCCGGCAGACGACTAGTCTTCACCGGGATAGAAAGCTGAGGCTATGAACACAGAACTCCACTACTGGCGCCAAGAACACCAGTACAAAGCAGTCAACTGGCTAACTCTCGTATAGCCAATCTCCTACTATCGAATGAAGAGGCTCTAACAACCTAATCAGATTCTATCTATCTCAGGTTGCAGCAGAAATTGAGACAAGCTGATCAGACTCAAATCAATTCAATAAACATGCATCATTCGATTAAAATCAAACAGTAATATCATCCCAAGTCATTACAATCAAATCCCTAACACAAGGAACTAGGGTTCTTCATACCCAAGTGAGAGAAGGGTTCTACTCCATAGAGAGAGAAGAGAAAACAAGAATCGGATTAGTCATACTCATAACGATGAGGATAATCTGCTCCGGGACGATGATTTCCACTCCTATGACAATCTCCAGGCTCGATTCGATGAAATCCAGCTCTAGGACGGCTTCTAGGATGTGTTCTTCGCACTTTCTCTCTCTAGGGCTCTGTTTTTGCTCTGAAAACAAGACTCTCTCACTTTTGGCTCGAATTAGGCTTTAAAACCGACTTTCCCGAGTTGCACGGCCAGGTGCACGGCCGTGCACAACACCATTCTGGCCGTGCACCCTCAAAACGCACCGTATCAATTATTCGGCCTTCATCCACCTTGCACGGCCAGGCGCACGGCCGTGCAATCTTCAGGGTCTGGCCGTGCATGGCCTCGACATGAGGTGCACGGCCAAATGGCTCAAGTGCACGGCCGTGCAGCCTCCTGGTCTGCCCGTGCACTCCCCAAAAAGCTCGCCCTTCGTCCGTTCTGCGTCCAATCGACCCCAGACTCGCTCCTAAGCCTTCATTCACGTACTAGGTCCTGAAATAACACAAACAAGCACAACCTAGCGTGTAATCGGCCTAAAACACGAGAATCAACACCTCAAACGGTGTAAGTATGAGGGTAAAAACATGTGTAAATGACGGTCTATCAGCTAGGGTTTACTCCAAGTGGTTAATTGGGAAGATTCTCACCAAGAGAAGATCAACACAAGCTCAAAGGAGATTGGAGGCATCACCATGATGGTTTCTACCTCTTCCTCTTGTGTTCTTCCCCTTTCTAGAATGGAGTAGTTTCCTTTTTCACTTGGGTGTTGTGAAACTCTAACTATTTGCCATGTAGTTGTTGTGTGAATTGAGTAATTGTTTATGAGTGTTGTTTAATTCAATGATTGAGGTATTTTTCATGTTGATTGTGCATGTTTGTGCTTAGCAATCTACTTGGCCATTCTAACCTAGATTAGAGGGAAAACCTCCTTTCAAGGGAGGCTCGGTTGAGTTGGGATTCCATGGGCTTTTTAAGCCACCTATCTAGGTTAATGTAGGGCAAACCTCTATGTTGAATTAAGAAATTTTGTTAAGCGCGATTAAGCCGACCAACCATTGGGTTGAGTGATAGAGTAAGTCAACAATAGATTGCCTTAACCGACAGGGCTACTTGAGTAGCCTATAATGTATCCCTTGGTTTGGCAATTGAGAGTGTGGTCTACGACCATAGTTGTGTTTCCTAGCGTTCGCGGTCACCTTGCCCATAGAAATCACTTCGATTCACATGCCATGGTAGTAGTTAGGGGATGCGACACCCGAGTGATCATTCTCACATAAATTTAATTGGCCAACTTTTCAACCAAAACTGATTCGCTAGATAATGTTTCAACCAACTGACGTAAGGGTACACGGACCGGCCCGAGTCAATATTTAAACATACTTGCCCTGTACTTGGACCTTAGGCGGGAATTAATTGTGATATACGGGATGAGTCACTACCCCTAATTAATTATAACTGTTAGATTAAAATTAGTGGGAATGAATGGTGCAGATGTAGGTTGCCACAGTGACAACTATTTTTTTAGTTGCCACATTAACTCATCCCCAAGATGATAAGAAAAATACCAAGTTCCAATATTATCAAAATTGGATTAATATTGTTCTGCATAAATAAGTAACAATATTCCGTTATTTTCCCTGCTTACATGTACTAGTTCCCGTTGGTGAATGAACTATTACTTGTCCTCTCCCATTATATATTGACTTGGAGAAATTAATTTGATACTATACTCCCTTCTTATTATAATAATAATAATTTTTTTCTCTTCTCTTCTCTCTTCTTATTTTAATAATTCCTCTATCGACTAAATGTGATTTTAGTCTCGTGACTGCTTGCCCAAGATAAGACTATTCAAGCAAAGCCCACCATCAACCACAACATTCAGCCCACTGACATACCTCGTCTCGTCACTCTCCAGATACAAAGCCGCATGTGCCACGTCATTCGCATCCACGATCACACCTTTCAAGTTCGCCACCGGGGCCACTGCCTCCTGCACCTTCCTCACATCTCCCAGCCCGGTCGCCCTCGCCGACATTGGCGTTAGGATCGCGTCGGGGGAGATACTGTTCACCCTTATCCCGTGCCTCTCCAACTTCATGCACAGATTCTTCGCCAAACCTACCACCGCCGACTTGGACGCCGAGTACGGGTGCGACACCTCCCCGTAGCTCACCGACACCATGCTGGAGGTGAATAGGATGCAGCCTCTCTTCCGCGGCGCCATCATGCGGGCTGCGTGCTTGGCGCCCAGAATTGTGCCGTACACATTGACGTCGAAAACCTTGTCGTAGTCGTCGCGGGTCAACGACGAGATGGCCGTGTTGTAGGTCCCCGTGATGCCGGCGTTGTTGTACATGATGTCCAGCTGGCCGTGCATCGAAACGGCGGTGTCTACTGCGTTTTGGACATCCGCCTCGTTTGCCACGTTGCAGTGGACGTAGGTTGAGTCGGATTGGATGGTTTTAGCGAGGGAGCGGCCGAGGTAGTCTTGGACATCGGCGATTACGACTTTAGCGCCAAGCTTAGCGAAGAGCCTGGCCGTGCTCTCGCCGATCCCGCTCGCTCCCCCCGTTATTAGGGCTACCTTGCCCTCTAGCCTGCAATCATTTGAGTTATATAAAATTGGACACGCTTTTACTTCAAATTATTTCAACTACACATAAATTTGGACATGCTTGTAAAACATTAAAAAATAGCTATCGAAATTTAAGAAAGATATAGTTAGGTACTAAACTCTAATTTTAATTCGATATTTTGAGGACTTACATGCAAAAAATTAATTTTAAGTACAAGATTTTGAAATCTTACTAGACAAACATAACCCCTCCAAATTAAATGAATATGAGTACAAACCCATCAAACACACATCACTCGGAAATAAATAAAAAACTCTTATTATATTTACTTTGTATTTAGGTTCTGTACACAATCCAATTGGAATAAGTAAGTAAATGCACGTAGGTTTGAACAAAATTATCATCATCTTTAAATTAGATTCAAACGGTGAAATTTGTACTTCATTTTAATTATATCAGTAAATTAGAATTACCTATCTAATTAAATTTATCATAGATGTGATTTTGTACATTTTACCGAATGTATTGAAAAATTGAGAGAAGGTATGATGAAATTGATTAAGATGCATTAGAAAAGTAGGAGCACCGGATCTAAGCGGGGGAAAAAGGCTCCGAAAAAGTAGGAGCACGTCTGGGAATAATAACGACGAGCGAGCTAGGGTTTTCTTCGGTTCTCATGCCGGCGGTGGCTTAGCCACTGACTGGGGGGCACGGACTCCTCCATGCAGCCCGAGGCTATAGCGGGGCAGAGACGTCCGCCATCTTCATTGCCTTCCCCGAATCCGAAAGGGGATCGCGAGACTCAGCAAAATAAGAAGCGGGCCAAGCAAACAGAGACGATCATTGACAACACTATTGGTAGGGATGAGACTCCAGATGGTCCGCTAATGGGAGATCAAATCCCTAAGAGCACTAGCGCCTCTAAACAGACGGCTTGGGGCGCAGGATCGGGAACGGCGCGAAGACTATTTGGAGAAACGACAAGAACGGAGATGTGGTATGTGGCAGATTCCGACTCGGAAGATGTGTACGAAGCTATGCGTTAGGATGGCCTGGAGTCAGGATTTGAGGGAGAGATCGATCCGAAATGTCCATCGATTCACTACGCAGCAGCAGAGGAATGTTTATTCTGCCGTGCTTGGCGGTCTACGCTAGTGGTCAAGGTATTGGGGAGATCGGTCTCGTATACCCTTATGTTGAAGCGACTGCAAACAATTTGGGCGAAAGCCGGGATCATTCAAGTAACCTAAGCCAAAAATGGATACTTCTTGGTGAGATTCACCAGTTGTGTGGACTATGAGCGAGCACTGGCCCTTGGCTAGTAGGGGACAACTATCTGACTGTGCACCCTTGGTCCAGCGACTTTAACGGTACTAAATGCGTCATCCAAGCTCATCAGAAAATCGAATAGACGCTCCCCTCGCGAACGCACGCTGTCGATGTTTCACATCGTAGTCGCTGCCGACACAGGTGCAATCTAGCGACGGCTGAATAGACTGAAGTTCATCCCAATGTCCTTGCAGTTTAGTATAGAACGCCAAAACCGAACGCTTCTCTTGCTGAAGGCTGTTAATAGTGCGCTTGAGCTCATAGAGACGCGACGCACTACCTTGACCGAAGCGAGACTGCAAATCCACCCAAATTTCACGAGCGGTGAAGGCAAAATGAACACCCTCTTTAGACATGGACATTTTCAGTCAGCCCTTGAACATGGCGTTACAACGCCGCAAAGCTTCCTTCTCGGCAGGAGTAGTTGCCGGCGGAAGAGTGCCATCAACAAAGCAAATTTTGTTTTTGGCGATAAGCGAATCCGTGATGTCAACCACCCATTCGCCATATTTGACGTCCGTGAGAAGTTCCCCAACGAACAAATTGTTGGGGATTTCATACTAATGGAGTTGAAGATGAGACGGGTGACCAATTTGATCACCAGCGGCTGACTTCGACTGGGAAGTATCACCGACCGACTTTGATTTGTTGGCTGAATCCTCATCCGAGTCCACCATGATGAAAAACTGTGGATCAATTGACAACCCTGATACCATGTAAAATACGATAAATTACGGAAGTAAAACACAAACACAACACCAAGATTTACGTGGCATCCCCGTACAAATCGTACGAGACTAATCCACAAAGAGGTTGGACCTCTCGGCTGAAGTTTTCACTAGTTCTGGGAATTCCCTCTTAGGGTTACAGGCGGCTACACAGAAGGCTTAAATAGCCAAATCTCCCCTCACACAAAGCAACTTGGGGATTAAATAACCAAATAGTCCTCAAAGAATAAGAAATAACAAACAGGAACCTCAACACCTGTCACCTGTGGTAAACATTATACCATTCAAACAAATGTATGGGCACGATGATAAGAAAATACCAAGTTCCAATATTATCAAAAATCATTCATGGATTTTTATTCTACTGCATAACTAAGTAACACTATTCCGTTATTATCCCTGCTTACATGTACTAGTTCTTGGTGAATGAACTATTATTTGCTCTCTTCTTCCGTTATAACAATCGAATATTTGATGCAGTGGTAATACTACTGACCTAAGACCTGAAGGTCCCAAATTCAAATACTTTACATAGTACCCTAAAGTATATCACTCTCTTCATCCCATGATTGACTAGAAAGTAGAAACAAACAAGTGTCAATTTAGTCTCGTGCCTGCTCGCCCAAGATAAGACTGTTCAAGCAAAGCCCACCATCAACCACAATATTCAGCCCACTCACATACCTCCCCTCGTCACTCCCCAGATACAAAGCCGCATGCGCCACGTCATCCGCATCCACCATCACCCCTTTCAAGTTTGCCACCGCGGCCACCGCCTCCTGCACCTTCCTCAACTCGCCCAGCCCCGTCGCCATCACCGACATCGGAGTCGGGATCGCGCCGGGGGAGATGCTGTTCACCCTTATCCCGTACCTCCCCAACTCCACACACAGATTCTTCGCCAGCCCCACCACCGCCGACTTCGACGCCGAGTACGGGTGTGGCACCTCCCCAAAGCTAACCGACGCCACGCTGGACGTGAACAAGATGCAACCTCTCTTCCGCGGGGCCATCACACGCGCCGCGTGCTTGGCGCCCAACATGGCGCCGTACACGTTGACGTCGAAAACCTTGTCGTAGTCGTCGCGAGTCAACGACGAGATGGCCGTGTTGTAGGTCCCCGTGATGCCGGCGTTGTTGTACATGATGTCCAGCTGGCCGTGCATCGAAACGGCGGTGTCTACTGCATTTTGGACGTCCGCCTCGTTTGCCACGTTGCAGTGGACGTAGGTTGAGTCGGATTGGATGGTTTTAGCGAGGGAGCGGCCGAGGTCGTCTTGGACATCGGCGATTACGACTTTAGCGCCGTGCTTGGCGAAGAGCCTGGCCGTGCTCTCGCCTATCCCGCTTGCTCCCCCCGTTATCAGGGCTACCTTGCCCTCTAGCCTGCAATCATTTGAGTTATATAAAATTGGACACGCTTTTACTTCAAATTATTTCAACTACACATAAATTTGGACATGCTTGTGAAACATTAAAAAATAGCTATCGAAATTTAAGAAAGATATAGTTAGGTACTAAACTCTAATTTTAATTCAATATTTTGAGGACTTACATGCAAAAAATTAAATTTAAGCACAAGATTTTGAAATCTTACGAGACAAACACAACCCCTCCAAATTAAATGAATATGAGTATAAACACATTAAACACACATCACTCGGAAATAAATAAAAACTCTATTATATTTACTTTGTATTTAGGTTCCGTACACAATCCAATTGGATTAAGTAAGTAAATGCACGTAGGTTTGAACAAAATTATCATCGTCTTTAAATTAGATTCAAACGGCGAAATTTGTACTTTGTTTTAAATTATATTAGTAAATAAGAATTACCTATCTAATTAAATCTACCATAGATGTGATTTTGTACACTTTACCGAATGTATTGAATAATTGAGAGAAGGTATGATGAAATTGATTAAGATGCATTAGAAAAGTATGCTCACCTCCTGGCAAAATTGGCAACAGAGGAAGTGGCAGCCATGGTCGATGAGGGTGAGTTGTTCCTCCCCGCACTATATCTATTTAGCTGCAGTGACGAGACAGGGTAATGCTTAGATTCGATGTTTGTCAAATTAGTAAGTGAATGGGAGCTATAAGGGCCGGGGTTGATGTTATTATATAGATAGTGAGGGTGATTAAGAAATAATTAATTAATTTGAATTATGGATGAACAACAGGACCTTTAATTTGGGGAGCGGGAAGTCTCTGAATAAACTAATTGTTTAAGCAGCCTACATATATGACTTAATCTTGCACTCGTGTCAATCTATCCTACACGAGCAGATGTTAATTGTCGTAAAAGTAAATATATCATATTAAGCTAGCAAGATAACGGAAGTTTCGTAGATGGAAGAAAATAACATTTTTCTGTATTTTAAATAGAAGAAAGTCGACCATTCAAAAAGAAGTTCCGCAGGACAGTATTTGTGCCGCCGCCTGATAGAGAGTTCGGCCTCAGTAATTGACTAATAAATAATTAAATCTCAACAATTATATTTAAGTTGATCCAGAAAATTCACATCTAAGAATGTAGAATCAAATACATTTTTATTTTTTCTTATTTTCTTAATCGGCTTATATCTTCTTCGTTTTAATTTGGATTTCAATTTTTTTTTTTCACAGATGGAACGAGTTCGTCGTGCTCTACAAAATGAGATCAATTTTCAATATTTTTTGAGAAAAAAAATGGTCTTGCTTCTCGTTACCAACTGCATACCATATGGTATCTTCTTCGTTTTAAGTCATTTTTGAAATTTTTTTCACAGAATGAACGAGTTCATCATGATCTATTGGATCGAAATTTTTTTGGGTGAACAAAATACAAAAAAATAAAAATACAACACAATACCACCCTCGTATGGGGTGGTATCTTGTGGTACACAATGTTAAAAGTCGTAAATGATAGTTAGTATACTCTTATTATCATGTATTCAATCATCCTACATTCTTGGTATGTTATAGGAACTCTTGCTCTAGTAGGAGTTGAGGAATCAGCTGTTGATGATAAAACCTCTTTCATACCACCATGATAAGTTTTTTCATACCATATGGTATGCTCGTATTTAATACCAGTCAATCCATATGGTATATACTGTTAAAAAAATGGCTCATTTTTTTTGTTCCAAAATTATATCAAAATGGATATCATTTTGATTTTTGAAGAGCACAATAGATATGATCCAACTGTCCAAAAAAAATTTAAATTACAACTTAAAATGAGTGAGAAATCGTCTGTTACACATTAAGGAGAAAAAATTTAAAGCTTTCCATAAAAGAGAAGGGACACTAATCTGGCAAATAGTGATTGATTATGCATAGTTACTCACTATGCATGATATCTGTTTCCACATAATTCATCCTCACCTGAGTGCTCTCATACTCTAAAAAGGTGGCTTTCCTAATTCACACCCTCAAGAGGATAGTCTAGTGTTACCAATTTCCAAATTTTAGTTCATAATATATTAAGGTGGATGTCATTTTAAAAAACACAAACTAATATAATTTTTTAATGCATAAATTTTGAATTTCAATTTAAAATTAAAGAGATATGATTGGCTAAATTAAATTAGGGAAAATTTATAAAATGCATCCACTGGTCATTATAGCATAGTGTTAAAAATTATCCATATATAATATACATCGTAGTACAATCTAATGTACTACCAATTATTGTTACTATGATATAAATTGATAATATTTGTAATAATTTTAGTTCATAATATATCAAAGTAGATGTCATTTGAAAAACACGATTAATATGTTTTCTCAATGCAAAAACACGACTAATATATCCAATGTTTATTGACGGTTATGCAAACATTGTTTTCTGAGTGGATCAGCTACCGATTTTCTACCAACAGACCACTAGAACAGGGCTTAATATTCTAGAGGCCCTAACCTAGCAATAAATTGAAAATCATAATATCAATTATACTCTCATGTTTTTTTTCTTTTTTGCACTTCGAACATTTTAATTAATTCTTAGATGACATAATTATTGGAAAATAAAATTAGGATGATAAACTTCACCATCAAAATGGACGCATGAGGATAAAAATGAACGATTATTGACAAATTATTAGTGAGTATTGTCCATAAAATGATGATAATTGATGCGCCGATTGTAGCTGAAATAGAAAGATGAAATATAAAAAGTTCAATTGAGAGACTGAATGAAACAAAAAGAATCTAATAGTAATTAGATTAACAACTAGTCAATAAACTGTACTCTTACATGAATATGTTATGGGAATTCAATTGAGTAAGGCAGAAAGAATAGTTTAAGAAGATTTGAGGTAGAAATAAATAACGGAGAACAAGAATATTATTTGAAGAGAAGCCAATAATATTTTAATCTATATTGACAATTTATAATTGACTTACTTTTTCAGTCAAATGACTTCTTATGCCTGACACAAACTATTCTAAAAGTGTCATTTGTGTTTTAAACTATTCAATATTACAAATCTGACACAAACTATATGCGTTTCGTGAAATTTGTGTCCTAAACTATTCAATATGACAAATCTAGCACAAACAACATAGATGTTGACTTGATGTTCTGTTAAATCCTAACGCTCAACGCCGGTCAACATTAACGAAAATAGTTCTTGCCAGATTTGTAATATTGAATAGTTTAGACCACAATTGACACTTTTTGAATAATTGGGCTTCCTAGTGCCCAAGTCTATAAAGGCAAGTACTTCCCTCAAGGGTCCTTCTTGACAGAGACTGCTAGGTCTCGTCCCTCTCGGGGGTGGCAAGGTATCCTTCATGGACGTCAGTTATTGGAGAGGGGGTTGAGATGGCAGGTTGGTAATGGTCATTCGATCTCCCTCCTTCATTCTAATTGGATACCTAGGTACCAACTAGATCCCCCATGCTATAATCCGCAGATCTTGCCTGAGGGGGGTGATCCTTTGGTAGCGGAGGTTATTGCTGCGGGGGGAGGGAGATGGTCTAATGAGAAGCTCAGTCAATGGTTTGACCCGCCCACTTGTAAGGCTATTAAAGAGATTCCTCTGCCGCGTTGGGATGTGCCTGATAAGCTTATCTGGCATTTTACGGCCGACGGGGTCTTCTCGGTTAAAGCGGCTTACCATTTGGGTGTCGATTTGGACAGGAGGAGGGGTGGGTGGCGATCCTCGGTGAGCTGGATGGATAAGCCGAGTTGGATTAAAGTTTGGGAGGCCAAGATCCCTCCGAAGTTGAAGGTGTTTGTGTGGCAAATTCTAAATCGGGCTCTGCCGACTTTAGAGGCGCTTGTTGAGAAAAATGTCCAGGTGCTGCCTCGGTGTCCCGTTTGTTGGGATGGCCCGGAGACAATGGAACATTTGTTCCTTTATTGTTCGGTGGCGCGAGCTCTCTGGGACTATTCTGGGTTGGAATATTTGGGGGAGGGTTTGCCTCGGCATACTTTTCCTTTATTTCTCAAGCGTCTGTTGGGGTTGATCCATCAACCGTCAGTGGTTATGGCTGTTGTTGCCGTTCTTTGGAGGATCTGGCGATCTCGGAATTGGGTAGTCTTTGAAGGCAAACAATTTGGGATCCCGGCGCTCATGCGGCAGTTCCATCAGCAGTATGAGGAATGGATAGGTCTGCCGGCGGACCAGGGGCCTAGAGTTCACGTGCCGATAATGAAATCGTCGACTCCAGTGGGTGATTCCCATTTGGTCTGCATGTGGGACGGGGCTACTAAGGGCGGATCTCATTCGGCTGGTGGGATGGTTATTCTTGACCCAGCACGGACACTCCTTCTGGCGAGAGGGGTCCAGTTTCCTCAAATGGATGATCCTGTCGTAGTGGAACTGCTGGTGCTAAGGGAGGCAATTATTTGGTGTGTGGAACAAGGTTTGTCGGAGGTCCGTTTTGAGGGCGATGCGAAGGTGGTTATTGACAAGATTAATCAAGCCGACACAAGAGATAGCCGATTGGGTGCTGTTCTGGAAGAGATTGCTCATTATTTTCGTACTCAACCTGGTTTTATTGTGCGTTTTGTAGGTCGGGATAACAATAGGGTAGCTCATTTGGTAGCTAGAAAAGCCCTCTCTTTGTATCCGACTATGAGTCGCTTTTTTTATTTCCAGACCTGGCTGGCTTCCAGGGTGTAACTGTCTATTTCTTCGATCAATACATGATATCTTTTGACAAAAAAAAAGTCATTAAAAGAATAACAAATCAGTGTCCATACGTTAATTATGCACATCCACTCTCTCTCTCTCTCTCTCTCTCTCTCTCTAAAACCGATGAAAGCTGATCAAAATATTTTCAGGGGTTTTTACATCCGCGTTTTTCGAAGTAGGCGATTCCGTACACCCGTAACCCTAGCGGTCGTGTTCATCGTCCATGGCCGACCTGGCGCCGGAAGCCATCACCCTGGCAGCCACGCCGTTGGACGCAACCTCTGGACAACGTCGCCCTCCCTCGGCGACGTCATCCCTGAACAGCAAGAGGGAAAAAGAATCGCAACAATCAAAGAAGAAAGTGAAGGCGATGTGCGCTAACCCGCTTTTCGATAAGAAACCAATGGAGGAGGAACATGTACTCGACGAGAAGAATAATGGTGGTGACCCTACGAACAATTCCCCATCGTCGGCACAGGGCACGGGAGCGCGTAAGCTATTTTCGACATTTCTCATTGAGGAGGAATGGTATGTAGCTGAGTCTGACTCGGATGATGTGGCGGAAGCCATACGAGAGGATGACCTGGACGATGAAATACCCGAGGATGACAACCCGCGATGTCCCACGATCCCCTTCAAAGCTTTGGAGAAGCAGAGATATCGACGAACCTGGAGCTCAGCGCTCATTGTCATAGTGTTGGTTGTACGTTCCCCTTCCCCTTCATCTCGAAACGGCTAGAAATGGTATGGGCAAGAACCAGAACTATTCAAATTTCTAGTCTTTCGTACGGGTTCTATGTTGTTCGCTTCAAGAATCAAATGGATTATGAACAAGTTTTCATGGGAGGGCCATGGATGATCGATGATCATTACATTACAGTGAGGTCGTGACATAAAGGTTTCAATGCCAAATTCACGAAAGTGGCGACAACCCTTGTTTGGGCTCTCCTGCCTGAGCTGCCCGTCGAGTTCCTTAATCGCAAAGCTGTAGAAAGGATTGTTTCTCGAATTGGTCGCCCGGTCCGGGTCAATTGTGCTACTACCACTGGTGCTCGCACAAAATATGGTCGAGTTAGCATCGAGGTGGATCTTACTAAACCCCTATCGGGGCAGTATAAGATCGAGGGGAGAACATACTATGTGGAGTACGAGGGGTTGCATAACATTTGCACAGAATGTGGTATGTATGGCCACTCGAAGACAACCTGCCCATCACTAAGGAAAGTGTAACCAGAGAGTCTGGTGGAACCTCAAACAAGTACCAAAGCTACAGCTACTCCTCTGAGTGCTTATGGAGAATAGATAATGGTCAAACTGAAGTACAAACCCAATTAGAGGATAAAACCTTCGCTGAATGGCGGTGGAGTTACGTCGACACCACATGTGGCGTCTATACCTGGAGGCTCACGCTTCTTGGCACTGGTTGAGGAAGAATAGCTACAAATTGATATGGATAATAGTGGTAATGGTGAGACTTCCTCAGCCATTCTCGACGGTATGCAGGTGCATGGAGCTGTTGTAGGGTTAGAGTCTAACCTCCCCAACGTACTTCTACTTCTCTTGCGGCGTCCTAGGCCGTGATGCCTATGAGCACAACACATTTTCCTGAACAAACTCCATTGGGACCAGCAAGAAAGGAGGAGAGTGGAAATATCAAAGGGATGGTGAGTGTCCCCATCCAACAGGCGTCTTTTGGGATCGGCAGGAAAGCGGAGGCTAGCTTAAAAGTCATCAAATCAGGGGGCAAATGATTACCTACGTCAGAAGGTGTTCAGAAGGGTCAGAATCATACCAAGAATCAGAAAGCCACAAAGCATGGGGCGGAGAAGACTGCCGAGAAAGGCCATACCCCGTCCCATGGACAAATAGGGGTGTCGGATACCCAGAGCCCATCCTTGCAGGCTCCTGAGCAGACAAAGTCGGAAGGGCATCCCCATCCTGTTGTTTTGTCTCTTTGATCGGGCATTAGCCCGCACCCAGGGGAGTCCTCTATCCTCTTGGATATAAGTGTGTTTCCTTTCTTTTTTATTTGTTATGTTTAACATATTTGCTTGGAACTACCAAGGAGCAGGGAGTGATGATTTCATGGTTTAGCTGAGAAATTTTGAACCTCCACGAGGCCGGATTTAGTGATTATTGTGGAACCGCGAATCAGAGGAGACGTAGCTTGGGATGTTATTCGGAAGACGAGTTTTGACGGGAACATAATTATGGACGATATTGGTTTTTCAGGTGGCATCTTGGTGCTATGGCATCGATACGATCTCCAAGTCGTCTCCATCACTGGGTGGGAACAAATGATCCACTTGAAGTGCATGAAGCTGGGGGTGCGCGGTGTGCAACATTCCTAACACGTCTCTCCGCCACCAAATCTTGGCCGAGATTAGAAGATTCTCGACACATACTACCGTCCCCTAAGTTCTAATTGGAGACTCTAACTCCATCTTGAAGTCCATGGAACGCTGTGGGGGAGGTTCGTATCAGGAGGCTCGGTCTCGACCCTTCAAGAGTTGCCTGGATGACAGTTGCCTGCTGGACGTCAGCTTTACTTGTTCAGGCTTACTTGGAGGAGGGTCACACTTCAACAACGGCTAGATAGAGCCATTTGTAATAAGCTCTGGATTACTCGATTCCCTTAGACAGTCACGCGACATTTGGAACAGATCGGTTCGGACCACAGACCCATTCTTCTCTAGGAAGATACGTCTCACACGAGGAGCTTGGGCCTAAAACCTTTTTATTTCATGGCTTCATGGTTTGCGCATGATAATTTTGGTCATGTCCTCTCAGCCAGTTGGGAACGGGGAAATACTTTTCCCTTATCGTCGGTTGCTCTCACTGGAAAGCTTACTAGCTTGTACAAGGTAACCATAGGACATATTTTGCATAACAGAGGACGCTTGCTTGGCGTTTGAGTGTCTTGGAAGCGGTGTATGAGAGATCAGGCTCGACTGCTTCCCGTGTAGAAGAAAGTGAAGTACGCAAGGAACTTGAAACTACTCTCTGGAAGGAACATATCATGGGGTTTCAAAAATATAGGGCTCAATGGGTGGCTCAGGGAGATCAGAATACTCACTTTTATCATCTTTCAACCTTGAAGAGGAGAAGTTTTAACAGGATTAGAGGGCTCAAGAACAAACAATGGCAGTGGGTGTTCGAGGAAGTCGAGTTGTGCAAAATGCTCTTGGAAGGCCCCCATCAGACTTGGGTGTTCTAGGAAGTCGAGTTGTGCAAAATGGCGAGGGATTACTATGTAATTTTGTACCGGGCGGAGGAGGGATGACGGCCAAGTCTGATGGGGGCCTTCCAAGAGCTGCGACAGGGTAGCAGAGACGGGTTACAAAGACCCATTTCGGGGGAAGAAACGTGGGCGACGATCAAGAGCATGCGATGTTTCAAAGCTCCGTGGAAGGATGGCTATCCTCCATTGTTTTACCAAAAATGCTGGAGTGTGGCAGGTGATTCTGTCTCCAATTTTGTAATGGCCACGTTCTCGGATCCTCGTTTGATTGCTGGGGTTAACGAGACACTGTTGGTGCTAATTCCAAAGAAAGAAATCCTAGAAACCATCAAACTTTTCCGTCCCATTGGCCTTTGCAACATGATCTTCAAGACTCTCACAAAATGCCTTGTTCATTGTATCAATCCGTTGATGAGAGATCTGGTGCATCCTACACAAACGAGCTTTATTACAAGAAGGCAGATTTTGAGGAACATTGTTATCCTGCAGGAGGTGGTCAATTCCATGAACCTGAAGAAGGGTCAGAAAGGAACAATGGTACTCAAGATCGATCTAGCGAAAGCTTATGATCGAGTTAGTTGGAGTTTTGTTCAGGAAACGCTCACCCTCATGGGTTGAGGTTATAGGAAAGATCATGAACTTAATTTAGCTTTCTTAGCTAAAATCGCTTGACTTTTCATGAAAACCCCAGGGGGTCGTTTGGATGAAGGTTTGTATTGAGAGATTTATAAGGGATTTTAAAACAATCCCTCATTATGCAGGATTTTAATACAATCAGTCGTTTAGTAAGATGAGAGATTGTGAGTATCAGGAATTTCTAAATCTGTCAAATGCAGGTTTTTAAAATAGCTGATGGTGATCAGCTATTGCACAATCCCTCATTTTTTATTGCATTTTTACAAAGTCTACCCTCATCAATTCCGGTTTATTCCTCGTCTCGGATCAGCTCCAACGCCATTCGTTGTCCTAGATATCGCCCATTTCCTTGCCTCCATCACCACCTCAACTTTTAGTCTTCCGCTTTCGTCGCCATCTCCTTTTCTTAATGTCAAGCTGGAGATAGGAGCCGAGTTTTCTGCATAGCTGGTGAATTTGGGGTTTACGATTTCAAAGCCTGAAGTCAATTCGTCCTGTCCTCCCGTCCGTCGCCATCTCCTCGTCTATTTCCCAGCTACCCACAAAACGATTCGTCAAGTCGGAGATCGGAGCCGGAGTTTTGTGCAGAGTTGGTAAATTTGGCTTCGCGAGATCGAAGCCGGACGCCGATTCCTCCCGTTCTTCCTTCTATCGCTATCTCCTTATCCATTCCCCAACTACCTAGAAGCTGATTAGTATGCTTCTCCTCAGATCTGCTCATATGAGAAGCCGGAAGTCGATTCATTGATGCTCTCCAATTGTCACCCAAACTGACTTCCTTGCGAACTGCTGATAATGGCGGGGCGATGCACAATGGTGAGAACATAGGGGAGGGACGAGGACGCAGGGGAATAGTGAGCCAAGAAGGAACCATTTGTTTTCTTATCTAAGTTGTCATTCCCCAATCCATCTCGTCAAGACAAGCGAAAGGCAGATTAGGGGATGAAGATGCACTAAGGAAAGAAACAAATATGGGTAGTTATGTAATTTTAATATTTTATTAAAAAATCTTGATCCTTGCCAAATGTATTATTTGGACTAAATCCCACAAGATAAATACCTGGATTTTTAATTGAGAGATTTGGGCCTCAATTCCCTCATATTAATATCCTGCATCCAAACTACCCCCAGAGGAATTGTGGGTGCAGGTATTTCAGGCAAAGTATTTCAATGTTGTTGGGGCCAGATGGTGTATAAATCTACATCTCGAGCCAGCTTTGAAGAGGGATCCACAAAGCCTGGCCGTTGATGATCGGGGGAATGTTTATGTGTATAAAGGATGGCCAAACCACGTCGTTCTGGACTAATAGGTGGATTGACAGCGGAGAGCGGCTGCTAGACTACGTGCGGGAAGAGGCAGTGCTGGTTAACCCCTCCGACGCGGTTGTGGCCTTCACAACACCGGCAGGTGAGAAGGAGTGTAGGACACTAATCTCCTAAGGTCACTCCTCCATGAGGATTATGTTTTGCAGGTTCAAGGGATCCAACCTCCCATGGCAGACTCAGGGAGCAACGTCGCCACGTGGGGGCCGGAGGAGGATGGGCGGTTTAGAATACGGTCCACGTATGAGATCGCCTGCAACCATGAGCAGCTAGAGCGCGAGTTCAACTGGCAGACTATCTGGAAGTGGAGTGGAGCGGTGCGGGCCCAACATTTTATGTGGCTAGCAGCTCGAGAGAGACTTCTCCCAATGCGGAACGAGGAAGGAGACATCTGATGGCTCAAACAACATGCACCCTTTGGAGATCTACACCTAAGACAGTCCTGCATGTGTTGCAGGACAGTTAGCTTGCCCAGTTAACTTGGATGAGGCTAATCTGACCTTCTGATTACCAAACCTTTTCAGTTTGACTTTGCAGGA